AGCACATGCTGACTGATGGTTGCTTCCTTTATATGGAAAAAAAAAAATAGGAGTTCTGACAAACTGAAAAGCAGCATCAGGTTCCATAACTGTTATGTCATTTAAAAAAATGACTGGTTCAGTGATAATTAGGGTTCAATTGTCAAAGGAGCACAGCTCAAGGTAGGGGTGGAATCCACAGGTACCCCTTCCCCCATCACAAACCCAAGGGCAAGCATAAAAGCAGGAATTAAGAAACTCTTAACTCCATCACATGCAAAGCAGCCCAGCTGCCAGCTACCCAAGCAGAAATAAGCCCACACCACCAGTTCTGGCAGAAATACAAAGGACCTTCCCCAAAAGATTTTTTTTTTAGTCACAACAATGCAGTGACCTCTGACAAGCCAGGCCATCTGTAGAGGCTTTTGGATGCTTCCTACCTTCAAAGGTAATGCTCCTGTTAGCTGTGTTAACTCTGAGGTTGTATTTCGATCCCTTTTCCCCAAAAGCAAGTTCCTTCCCCCCTCCTGGAAGGAGGGAGAGGAGAAAAACCTGGCGCTGCTAGCAGTCTGTAAGGGAAGATCAATTCTCAGCCTTGTGTCGTTTCGTTGTAGATCTCGCCACCCAAAGCCTGGCTGTGCTACCCCCAACACCTGCTCTTTAGAAAGGGGGGGAGTGCCAGCAGTCTCGTTCGGCAGCCACCTCTTTATTTACAGCAGCTCAGGTACAATGGGGGATGTCTGTTGTTAGCAGAGCAGCAGTATAATAGGTATTTCAGCATCAGAATATACCATTCTGCCCCACAGTAGGCTCAAAGTTGCTACACCCTGCTTGGAGGAATTAGTCTCGTCTTAATGCACAAGCTTCCAGCCCCAAAAGGAGAAGGGTGAAGGCAAAGAGGCTTCCAGAGTGAGCTGTGCACCTCCCTGAGCATCCTAGCAGCAGCAGCTTAAGGGCAAACAAAAGCACCAATCTTCACTGTAAAAGCTTTATCCTTCACAACATAGAAAAGAGTGGTTTTTTTCCCTTTCTTGCTTCTCAGTCAAGACAAGTCCCTTCCTCCCCCGCTAGGATTTAGCCAATTCACCTCATTGGCAGCGTGTGCTCTATAGCTCCAATTGTCTGAATTTCCAAGGATATTTAATGCATGCACAGTCCCCCATTCTCGAGGCAATGTCTATGAGTCAGCACAGTGTAGTGGAAAGATCTTAGAGACAGGAGACCTGGGCTCAAATCTCAGCCCTGGCACTTACTAGCTCTGCAGTCAGGGGCAGTGCACTTTCTCTATGAGCCTCAAATCCCCCCATTTGTATAATGTGAGTAAAAAAGACTTGGGCCTTTATTGCTTTATATGGCAAAATGTTTTGCATGATTTCACATGTATAATTGATAGCACATTTCTTGCCTTTACAATGGCTAAGGAAGAGGTGGGAGGGAGAGAGAGAAATCTGAACTCAATTTTTTAAAAATGAATACTAAAAATAAATAATAAATGGGGGAGGGAGGATAGTACCACTGCACACCATGTCCTGGCAGAATTACTGTGATAAAAGCACTTTTTAAGATGAAAAGCACCATTGAAATGGGAACTATTAGTATTAAAAGTGCTACCTTGAACATCCTATGTTGCTATGAAGAATTGGTCCCTTAATTTTAATATATGTCATACTAAAGAGTTTCTTGGGTGTGCTATAGTGGAAAAAAATGTGCTAGGTTTGGAGTCTCTGAAGACCTGGGTTTTTATCATGACTCTTCCACTCACTAGTGGTATGACATGGAACAAGACATTCCCTCACTGGGCCTCAGTTTCTTCATAACTAAAATGAAGAAGATGGACTAGATGGTCCTCGAGGGTCTCCAAACCCTGTGATTGTCTGTGTGGATATGGGGCTCTCACTGCATGAAATAGAAACAAATCTTGAACCATGAGCCATGAAGTGGAATTGGCGTGATCAGAGAATCACCTAGCTGGGCCAGAAAGGAAAGGAGAGAGAAAGGCTAGAAATCCGCATGGAAATGGACAGCAGGGAATGGGCCATCATAAAAGCACAGCTTTAATTAGCCCCTTCTGCTCCATAGATCCTCTGATTGGGCCAAATCAGATTACTTTGTCATACATTCTCAGTCTACTCTCCATACCTTTGTCCATTCTATACTATGGGCCCAGAATGGACCCTCCTTTGCCCATCTCCATCTGCTGGAGTTACATTCCTCTGTTCCTTAAAAACTCAGTCCCAGTGTACCACCTCCTTTCAGGAAGCCTTCCCTACGCCATCCCCCTTCCTCCTCTAACTGAAAGTTGTCCCTTCTTCCTCAGCTTTCTCATTGTATAGTGCTTGGGTCATGTCATGGATCATGGAGACCCATGTATCATTGTTCAATCAATCAATCAACCAATCAACATTTATTAAACATCTACTATGGACCAGACACTGGGCTAAAAGTTGGAGATCTCAAAAGAGGCCACAAAAAAAAGTCCCTGCCTACAAGGAGCTCAAAATCTATTTATGTAGATGAGTTACAAGTTACAAGCTACGTGAGTACATCACCTTTGCATGCCCATACATAAGCATAGTGCCTTGTACATGTATAGTTCAGCATTTTTATAGCTCTCTGATCTCATCAGTGTGGCTACTTCCTCTATCAAAGCAGACGGTAGGTTCCCCCATGTGTTTTCTTCTAGAATGATCCTTGTTTCCACCTTTCCATAAATATGACATAGACAATCTACCCAATGCACTGCAGGCTTCCTTCTGTTTCTTGTAGTATTTTGTAGAATGTTTAATTTTGGGCCATCCATTTGTTAGCTCTGACTTGTATCACATGACTCGCCCACCTACTTTTCTGGTAGGGCGCATTTTTGAGTCTGTCTTCTTGTAACATGGCTGGTGAGCATGCAAAGCACACTCCACTGATGCAACCCCTATGTGGTCTTTGAATCTTACACAGACATTCTGTGACTGGTTCTAGGTCTTGAGAAGAACCTTTTTAATTGGCTATAGAGCCAGAACTGGGGTGAACCAAGCCAAAGCTTGGTATGTCTCTTCCCAGGTTGGCTAGAATGAGGACAAAGTTCTTGTACTGAGAATGAGGACAATGTCCTAAGGCCTCTGGGAGGAGGAGAGGGCTTGGGTTCTCACTCACTCAGAGTTGGCATAAGGCTGAGAGAGCATGACCCTGCCCTGCTGTTGCTTCTGTCTCTCTGGTGTCTCTGTTTCAGATGAAGGAGTTTGGAGATGGCAATGACCTTATGAGCTTCAAAATGTAAAAAACATTTGGTGAGAGGAGAACAAGCTGGCTGGTAACAAGCAATTACCATCCTTGAAGGAGGTAGGACCACTGCCCTGTCACCTAAACTACCAGGAAAAGTGGCTTTTTATCATGAACTCCTTCCCCTCAAAAAAAGAATCATACTCTTAGACTGCAAATATCTGAAACAGATACATATGTGTATACATATATATATGTGTGTATATATATGTATGTATGTGTGTGTGTATATATATATATGTATGTATGTATGTATATATATGAAGATAGGCATAACCCTCCTGAAGATAGGGGAGTGAAGAAATGATTATTCAGTCATAGTTGTCTTCCTGTTCTCCACAAAAATGGGACTCACAGTCTCTCTGAGTTATGTGATGGGACATTCCATTTGTAATTCCACATGTAATCCACATTACAAGTAGAACACCCCAACTCCTATGTTGCATGATCTCTGTTACATGTCCCTTTCAGCTCTAATGCTTATGTTCCTAGGACCTGGGGTCCAAAGACCCTAGTCCCAGTTTCATTTTCACTACATATTAGCCAGATAGCATTGGGTGTCAACTCCTGATCAAAAAACTTGATAGAATATCTGTTCCACCTACCTCCTCCTGAATATAGGGAGGCTCAAAGACAATACAGATGAAAGGACTTTGTTATAGGTCTTTGTTAAGAAGTGCAACAGGAATGAAAGTTACTACTATTTTTGTAAGCAAAATGATAAATCAACCAAGGACTGGTGTTCTCTTTAATCTTTGGAATTGGTTTACATGTATATATTGGTATTTACAGATGAGTGGCCTTTTGGACAACACTGGATTTTGAATCATGAGGACTTGTGTTCAAAATCTCACCTCGGACACTTCTTAGCTATGGGACCCTGGACAAATCTTTGAGCCCTGAAAGGTTGTGTTGTGTAGTGGAAAGGGTGCTAGATCTAAAGTCAGAGGACTTGGGTTCAAATCCTACCTCTGACACTTCATACTTGGTATGACCTTAGACAAGTCTCTGGTCTCTGTACACCAGTTTCCTAATTTTTTTTTTTTTAAAGAAAGAGTTGAATTACATCAGAGAGGTCAAACATGCTACTAGCAAAACTCCCAAGTGCAGCTGGAACCACATTAAAATGGAATTGGGAAATATTTAACAAAATAAATAAAAGATATAACAGAACATAGATAATGTTGTTATGTGACCTAAGTCAACATGTGACCCACCAGGATCCTTATGTATGGTTTAGTGGCCCCATTTCTATTTGAGTTTGATACCACTGGTCTACATAAGCTCTGAGGTCTCTTCAGGCACTAAATTCATTATTTCTATGCCCTGCTAAGGTATAGATAGACTGCAAGCTCCATTGAAGGAAAGATTTCCTAGACCAGGAGTACCTCTCTGCTGACAAAATCACAGATCCTTCACCTATTCATATGTCCAGTGTGTGTATGAGAGTGTGTGTGTGTGTGTGTGTGTGTGTGTGCGTGTGAAGGAATAATACGTACACAAAAGTGTGTTCATGTGGTAAAATATGTTAACATGCATGTGCAGGAAGGGATGTATGTAAGCTGGTGATGTATGCTTACAAATGTGTGTATGGAAATGTGTGTGTATGCTGATATGTGTCATGCATAAATGTCGTATGTATACATTTCAGAAGGGATATGTGTGGTTAGGGTGTACAATTGTGTGCACATTGGTATGTTTTTGTGTTTGAGCAAGTGAGGGTGTACCTTTAAGTGGCTACTTTCACTTACCTCCAATACTCTGCCTGTAATGTATTTTCCACAGCTGTCACATCTAATGCCAAACTTAGTGTGATAGTCGGCTTCACAGTAGGGCACCCCATCCCTAAGAATGAAAATGAACAGCAATTAATGAGGTTCTCAATTTTCTTTATAAATCACTGAGAATGTTCAGCTTGTTTAAAGGCTAAAATACTGTAACCCCCAAAAATAAATACATGTCCAAACATGAGGAATGCTTGTTCACTACAGACTTGGGAAGATACACCCCCACACCTTCTTCCCCCTTCCTCCCCCCCACACCTCCCCCCATAAAAAAGCACTTGATCCTTGGACTGGACAAAGTTTGTGAGAAATGTTACAGTAAGAACGTGGACTCTCTTCCTGGGTTTCCTCTTCCAAAAAAATTTCGACAATAGAAAGTTGAGAAAGGAAGATACTACAACAAACAGGAGAATAAGGGTGATCTTTACACTAATAGAATTATGAATGAAAGATGGTTATGGGCATGTTTAATTGAAACTCCACTTATCAGTGAATTACTGATACCCCAGTTGTTTAATGCTTATGGGAAAAATGATGAATTATAAAAGCCAACATTTAGAATTGAACCAAGTCCCCAGCTGCCTCTCTCATAAAAGCAAAGAGCACAATGCCACAAAAAAAAATTTTGGGGGGGGGAATTAATAAAACATATAGAATGATTGCAATAATGATGGTTATGATGTTGATAAGTTTCTTCCTATCCTTTCATGAGCACAGTGTGGTCTATCAGATTCCTAGCACAATGGAAGTCAAGATAACTTGTCCACTTTCCCTATCCCATTATTATACTCTGCCGGGTCCTTAAAGTGCTCATGGAATTCATAGAATGTCAGATGGGACAGGACTTTGGAACATAGAATAGAGAATATTTGGCTGGATAGGACCATAGACCATTGAATATCAGAGCTAGAGGGCACCCAAAGATCAACTAGTTCCATGTGCTCTTTAAGAATGTCCTAGCAGTCTATCTTGCCTCCCCACTTGTGTTCCCACATACAGTTGTTGCTGTAATTTGGAGCAAGATGGTCCTGTGAGGCTCAGTCTCTACCTCTGGCTTAAAATCTGGCTGTAGCCTGGGGGAAGGGGAGAGAAGGAAGGAAGGAAAGAGAAGGAAGGAAGGAAGGAAGGAAGGAAGGAAGGAAGGAAGGAAGGAAGGATGTGAGATATGAAGGTACCCTAACCTGTCCTTGTATTCCAGTTGCAACTTTGCAACAGACCTTGGCAGATATCTTCCCTCATCCTACACAGTCTCATGTCTGTTACACTTAACTCTTTAACTGCTAAACATCATCGCAATTAAGATGAGAAAGAAATTTGGCCCCAGAGATTCAATGGTACTATTAGATACTCACTGGATCAGTATACCTGAGGCTGAGTCCGAGAGTTGTAAAAGGTAAGGTTTCCATGGAAACAGGAATCTGCCCTCATCTCAAACTTAACAGTTGTATTTTTGGAGAACTATGTGGGCTGGTAAGTAACATGATTGCAATGGGGGTGAGTTAACATCATAATGTGAACTTAAATTCCTGCATTTTCTGACTTGAGTTTTAATTTGCAAATAAACTGCTAAGCCAGCTCTAAGCTTTCAAAGTTTAGCACATTTCTGCTGTTAGTCATACTTTTCACTTAAGTCTAACAATGGAATTAACATTCAGGTTGGAAATACTGAAGAGTTACTGGAAATATCTCATATCATTTTGTCCAGAATTTGAACTTGTTTTGTTTTGTTTTTAAAGGAAAGTCAGTGAGTATAATTTGGTTAAAGTCCCTTTTAGGTTTAATGGTCTCTCCCTGTTCATCTCCAACTCCTGGCTTCCCCGGCTTTCTTCAAGTCCTAACTAAAATCCCACTTTCTACAGGAAGCCTTTCCAAATCCCCCTTAGTGCCTTCCCTCTGTTAATTATTTCCTATTTATTCTGTCCATAGCTTATTTGTCCCTACCTGTTTGCATGCTCTCTTCCCCATTAGAATGTGAGCCCCTCAAGGGCAGGGACTGTCTTTTGCCTTTCATTGTCTGCCAAATGCTTTTCACCATGCCTGGCCCATAGCAGGTACTCAATCTGTGTTTATTGGCTAACCGAATCCTGCATCTGTCACTGACTCTTGGATGACCTTGGGCAAATCATGCCTAGTCACTACATCTTAGTTTCCTCATGTGTAAAATAAATATTAGATTAGATGATATTCCAAATCCCTTCTAGCTCTCTTATTCAATGATCTTTAACTTGATCTTTCCTTCTGTCTTTTTTTCCCTTTCTCAATGAAAAGCTCTATTCCTATTTAAAAATCTAAGTCCATTTCAGCAGACTTCATTAAAAACTAATGAAATAACTGAATTCATTTTAGACCCCACGGGGCACCAAGAAACCCTAAGAATGTATAAAGAAAAGGAAAGAAAAGAAAAATAAAAATAAAAAATGCTTCGATTTATAGGAAGAAACATTTCATTGGGCATTTAAGAGCATTCAGCCTGCAGAAAGTTTATTGACTATTCTCATATTCATTTTGCTCTGAGACTATCATCCATCTCTAAACTTACTGAAGTCAGCAAGCCCACCCAGCACTCCAGGTTCCAATGCTTTCCTTTGGGCTACAAATCCGATTTCTAACAGTTTATGGAATGCTTTCCTTATGTCTCTGTGAGGTCAGGGATAATAATAAAAAAAAAACAACTTTTATTTATTTAGTATTTTTCTGTACACAAAGTCCTGTCCTCACAATAAGCCTGTGAGGTTCCTAGAACAAGTACTATTTCCATTATTTTACAAATGAGAAAACAGGCTCTGAGGTTGTGGCTTGCCTGAGGGCAATAGCTAAGAGTGGGAGCTACTATTTACATAGTGCTTTAGAATTTTTCAAGCACTTGCCATGGTGTGAGCTTATATTTATATATTGCATTAGAATTTTCTAAGAACTTGCCTCACCATAATCCTGTGAAACAGGGAGGGAAAGGGTTAGCAGTCTCATTTTACAGATGAGGAAACTGAGGCTGAGGGAGAACAAGTAATTTGTACAAAGTCACACAGCTACTTAAATGTCTGAAGCAGAATTCACAGTAAAGTCTTCCTGACTCCAAGAACAGCACTTTAGCCACTGAACTATGACCTTGGGTAAGTAATTTCCCCTTTTTCTAAGTTTCAGATTTCTCATTTATAAAACCCGAGTCCATTTTTTAAAGTCTTTTCAATTTTCACATGTGATGATCCTATGATCCCTTGAGTGCCCTCCCCCCCCCCCCCCCCCCCACTTTGTGCTTTGTCCAGGTCCTATGTTGCCTAGAATTCACTCTCTCTTCATGTTTACATATTACTCCATCAATTAGCATTTATTAAGGGTCTACTTATATTCTAGGCACTGAGGTAAGCCCTGGGGATACAGAGGCAAAAATCAAAAAAAATAAATAAAAACTAGTCAAACAAACAAAACCAAACAGGAGCTTACCCTCAAGGAGCTTACATTCTAATGGTAGAGACAACAATTAAAATCCTTCTCATCCACCTTCAATTCAGGTGACACTTTCTCTGTGGAAGTTGAGATCGTGCTTCTTTTATTGAAATTTCCCTAGATCCCTTTTCTTTGTTCCCTTCACTCTTACTTGGGTACAAACCTGTCACATCTTCCTGTACTCCCAACCACATATGATAGAATGCAAGTCTCTTGAGGGCAAAGACTGTGTTGCCTTTATCTTGGTAACCTACTGGCCAAGCACAGGACCTTCACATAGCAGGCACTTGACATATTTCCTGAAATGTTATTTGATTTTTGTGACTGTTTGAATGATGTCACCAACTTACTTGCTAATATACTCTGCATTCAGTTGCTTTCCACAAGTCTTGCATTTAAAACAGCCCAAATGCCAGTGTTTGTCCAGAGCCACGAGAGATTGGCCATTTTTGATTTCTGCTCCACAGCCTCCACAATCTGAAAACACAAATACGAAGACAGTTTCTTGTGACTATTCACCTTTGTCATCAAGTCCAGGAAAGGAAGAAACCTCCTGGACTTCACAGACTCAGAAAAGCAATGTGAAGAGGCCAGTGCCAATTGCCAGTTTACCATTAAAAGGAGAATAACTGAGATCTGCATGCAGAAAGACCACCCTGGCATCCAAAAAGAGGGAATTGCTTAATATCTAGAACCAGCAAACAGCCATCAAAGCACCAGTGGGAGATGAGGCAATTAAGTCAAAGGATCGAAGGGGAATTCAAAACAGGGTGTGCTCAAAAGGGCCCTATTAATTTGGTTTTTTATGGCCTGGGTACTATCCTGGCACCATTGCTATGGTGCTAGTATGCCTGGAACTCACTTGTGTCTCATCTTCACTTATTAACAAGCATGGAATAATGGAAAGAGAGGAAGATTTGGGAGCTAGGTGGCACTATAGTGCATAGAACGTAGAACCTGGAGTAAGGAAGACTCATCTTCCTGAGTTCAAATCCTACCTCTGACATTTATTAGCTATGTGACCCTGGGAAAGTCACTTAACCTTGTTTGCTTCAGTTTCCTCATCTGTAAAATGATCTGGAGAAGGAAATGCAAACCACTCCAGTATCTTTGCCCAGAAAACCCCAAATGGGATCATGAAGAGTCAGACAGGACTGAAACAATAAGTTTCAATAAGTAGGATTTGTAGTCATAAGGCCTGAGTTTTAATTCTGGCTCTACCACTTTCTACTTGTGGGACCTGAGACTTTGGGACCCCCGAGACTCTTTCAGGGACACCACGAGGTCAAAGTATTTGCATAATAATACTAAGATAATTTTAATTTCTAATATGGTAAATATCAATAACTACAATTCACATAAATAAAACTTCTGTGGGAGGGTCCTCAATGATTTTAAAGAGTGTGAAGGAATTCTGCGACCAAAAAGTTTGAGAACTGCTAAGTTTGATGATCCCTAAGTTCTCTTCCAGCTGTTATAATGTTATGATCCTATGTCTTCTTTCAAGGACCCCCTCCTCTTCCACTGTGCCTTGGATACAACCTGGAGCATTGAACGTGATTGATAAACACTTACTGAATGAATGGGAAGTCCCTCCACAAATGTATACATCACAAGCCCACCATGTCTTTGTAGGTTCTCTTCATGAGTTCCTGTGCCCACCCCATCCCCCTGGTCAATCCCTTGTGGCCAATCTTCTTTTGATGAATGGACTTCTTGGCTAGTTATCTTGGATTTTAACTTCCTATTTAACTAGTTCAGAGGCAGTGTGGCATAGCAGATAGATCACTGGCCCAGAGTCAGGAAGACCTGGGTTAAAATCCTAACTGAGACATTGAACGTACCACCCTGGGCAAGTCACTTAACCTCTCAGATAACTAAGCTGGAGAGCAATTATCAGTTTGTATTGATAACCAGAGTTTTCTACAGTAAGGAAATCATAGGTCTGAGTATGAAAAAATGATCTAGCCACAGAATCCTAGGATGTGGTGAGACCCATACTTGAAGCTCTTTTTGCCTGGTGGGACCTGTTGCAACCTGCACTCTACTAGGATAACCTCTGAGAATTCAAGGGCACCGTCAAGCCACAGAGAGGCACTCTCAAGAGAACCTGACAGAAGGAATCCCCTTATGTCAACATATTAGGCTAAACTCCACAACCTGGGAAACCTAAGCATCATTCCTATGAGCTGAACATGAAGGGATTCTTAACAGCGATGATGAACAAAAAAAGGATAAGATAAAAATATGAGCAGTTGGCATAGAAACAGCAACAATGATTTGAATAAGTTACCCAGAACTCATCTGAGTGCTGTGCCTCTTGCTGTGGACAATTACTGAAAAAGCTTAGAGGGAGATGAAAGGAGGGATGAGTGGAAGGTAAAGAGCTGAGGCTTCTGCTAGGTGGCAAAGGGGGCAGAGTGGACAGAAACTGCCTCTGCACATCCGCCAAGGTACATGCCATAGTTTTCACATGTAGAAAGCCACAAGAAACAAAACCGAAGAAAATAGTGAGCAACAAAACCTATGACCTTAGATATCCATGAGCAAATGCTCAAAATGAACTAGAAATCCTAACTCAAGGAGGCAAATTTGGACATTGGTAGTATCACAGACACTTGGGGCGATGAAACCTATGACTGGGATATGGCTCTGGAAGGGTATAGGGCTGATTCAGAAACAACTGGATGGCCTAAAGGAGAGAGTAGGAGGAGGTAACCTCAGGGAAGGAAATGCAGGAACTGGGGAAAGAAAGGTACAGGATACATGGGTGAAGATTTTTAACTACTTTGTAGATGTGCATTTGTATTTGTTCATTTTAATTTATGCTGTATATGTATGTATGTATATGTGTATGTACATATGTATATATTTATCTTTCCCATTATTCTTGGCAAAGATACTTGAGTGGTTTACCATTTCCTTCTCTAGTTCATTTTACAGATGAGGAACTGAGGCAAATGGGGTTAAGTGACTTGCCCAAGACCACACAGTTAGTAAGTGTCTGAGGCCAGGTTTGAACTCAGGAGTGGGGAGGGGGTCGTCCTGAATCCAGGCCCATATATTTAATCCACTGTGCCACCTAGCTGCCCAGAAACTGAAGTAGAGAAAGATTAAGTGATTTGCCCAGAGCAATTAAATGAAAGGGCTGGGCTTTAAACCCAGGTCTTTCTAACTACAAGTCCAGCACTCTAACCATTACGACACACTGCCTCAAAGTAAAAAAAAAAAAATGCTGCATGTCTTGAGTCATTTCTCCTCAAAATATCTGTTTGCTATTGGAAAGATGTGGCTGCAGAATGTTATCCATGTCCCAGCTGGTCTTTAATTTCCCCCAATTAGAATCCAAGGTCATTAATCTGAATTTTCTGGCTTTTATCAATTAAAGTATTTACCGAGGAGCCACTATACGTCCTTGCTATTCTTGCCCCTTAAACATAACCAGATTGATATAGATGGGTTTGATCAATAATGAGAGGGGTTCCCTGAGCATTCCATTTTCTTTGTGAAAAGGAATTTATAGCAATTGGGAAAGTCCAACTTCCAAAGGGATGGCAGTGTTCCCTGAGGAAAGAATTAGCAGAGATGAAAAACAGCAGCAAAAGGACAGATGTGGAATTGGCACATCCCACCAGGCCAGATTTTCCTCATATGTTCATGTACAACTCCCACGACTGCTGGTTATTTCCTCATCTGGGTTCATTCTTCACTTACAATAGCAGTCATTATTTTATTCCTTTCTAATTACATTCCCCAGTTCCTTTAATTTAGGATCCTTAAGAGCTGCACAGATCTCTTTTGGGCAGAATGTGGCCTCTGGATGATCAGAGAATCAACATAGAATCTTGAAGTGGAAAGAAACATCAGCAGCCATGTAGTACAACCCACGCCTAAACAACGATGATGATGATAGAATTCACATTTCTATAGTGTTTTCTGGTTAATAGAGTATTTTCCTCAAGTCAACCTTATGAGGTATTAATTTGTACATATTCCTTATCAGGAAACTGAGGCTCAGTGAGGTTAAATACTTTCATCATGGTCACACAGCTAGTAAAAGTTACTGAGAGCTGGGGTTTGAACCAAAACCTCAAGACTCCAAATCTAGAGGTCTTTTGGTTATTTCATGGTGCTATCATTTCAGAAGCATAAATGGCCTCTAAACCATCCATGCAAGTAGGGGTCAAATTTGAACACTTCTATTGACAAAGAACTTAATACTTAACCCCAGCAGCCTATTCAGTCGAATTGCTAAGAAGTTCGTCCTCATGTCAGGACAAAATCTGCCTCCCTGCAACTACCACCCACAGCTGCTACTTTTGCCTTCTGGAGTCAAATAAAACAAGTCTATACTCTTTTCTTTTTTTTTAATTTTTAATAATGGTTCCATCTGGAGATCCTGAGCCAACAGTGATGGGCAGAGACTGCACAGACTCAGAGAGAAGAATCAAATTGACCTCCATTATTTTTGGCAAAACTTGTTTGTTTCAAATATTATTACTTTAGTAATGATTCTAAAATGAGCCAGGATGAATAATGAAGCCACCCATATCTTAGTTCATATCACGTGATTATGTGCCCCCACACTGTGTAAAGTATCTGGGGGATACAAATAGGTACACGCCATAGTTCCTAGCACCCACACCCAACCCCAGAGCTTATAACCTAGTTCAGAAGAAGAGTCAGATTTACATAAAAGGAGGCCAACAATAACAGACAGTATCCTCTATCAGTGTCAAATGAGGAAATCTAATAAATGATCCCCAGCAGCTCTGCACCTTACTGTCTTAGACAATTATCTGGGACATGAAGAGGTTAAATGTCTTATCGGGCTCAACCGGTCAGTATGTGGTAAAGGGAAGACTCGAACCCATTACACTGGCATTAAAGAAGACACAACACTCTCTGTTTTGCCCCCTCGTAGTGAGAATTTCTAGGCTTTTGCTTACCACTCTCACCTAAAACTTCCCACATGTGTTGTCCACCTCCCCCCAAAGTAGAATGTTAGGTCCTGGAGAGTATGAACTGTCTTGCCTTTCTATTTGTATGCCAAGTGGTTAGCAAGGTGCTTGAGAAGTAGATTATAAGCACATACTCCCTCCCTCCCTCTCCTTCTTCCCTCCCTTCCTTCCCTCCTTCCTCCCTCCCTTCCTTCCTCTCCTCCCTTCCTTCCTTCCTTTCTTCCTTCCTTCCTTCCTTCCCTCCTTCCTCCTTCCCTTCCTTCCTTCCCTAAACAAGCTAGCAGAGGGCCATGGGATTCAGAACTGGAGGGGCCTTAAAGGCTATCCTAGTGCCAGGCTTTCTTAAATCTATTTCATGTCTTAGAACCTCTTGACAATCTGGTGAAGCAATGGACCCTTTATGTATAAAATACAAAAGATTACAAAAGAAACCAATTATACTGAAATACAGTTATCAAAAACAAACCTGAATGACCTGAGTGGGAGAGGAAGCTGGTGGCAAAGGCACTTCTGCGG